TGGGCAGTGGCACTAGACTTTTCTGTCAAGTCTCATTCTGCGGAATTAACAATAAAACAGTGTTTACAGGGGCGTTTTTCTGGAGGGATTTGCTTTGTTTCAGTCCGCAGACTAGTCCCACTTACCTGCTGGCTTGGTGGTCTCAGAGAATTCACAACTTATTAAGGCATCCCTGAGTTTTATAATTATTCTATTAGTAGTACAGTGCTCTGTGAAGTGGGTGTTTTTAATTGATGGAATGGTATATAAAGATGTTACAGGTATGCCTTGGGTGGTTGGTCTGGCTTTCATGAAACAGTTTGCATGTGCTTTCTCATCTCTCTGTAGTGAAGTAAAAGCTTTGTTTGTTCTTTCCTGAACTGGGAAGGGAGGTATGCCAAAACCCTCCAAACATAAAAATCCCCAAGTCAACATTCAGGTTTTTTCTCCAATGTGCTGTCTTCTGAGGTTTAATGCCAACATAGGAAGCTTAACTGCCCCAGCAGGTTCAGGAAGCTAGTAGTTTGCAGTATTTGATTTAAACCCTTCTAAATTTAGGAGAGCTTCTTTTTATGTGGTCCTTGTTAGCCCCAGACTCTGCTTTCCTCATTAGGGCTTCAGGTTTAAAACAGGACAGTTAGTCCCTGTCTCTTTGCACTATTTGTTTTTCTCAGGTGTGAGAGAACATTCTGGTGCTCACTCCTTTCCTAAAGAAAGGACCTGAATAGAGAGAGGCTTCAGCATAAATATATATAAAAGAAAGGAAGGGAAAAAAGATGATTTTTCATAAGTAATTTGTATCAGAATCATACCACATTTAATGTGAGTTTTATAAAATACAAAAATCTCCCCTAACACACATACCCCACAAAGCCTCTCTCTTTCAGAAGATCTCTGTGTTGATATGTAACAGTGAGGTCCAGCCTTGTTTTACTGAGACTTTTTAATATCCCTTATTCATATTGCCATGGTTTGAGACACAATCCCTGCATCAGACAATATTTTTCTGCTTTGCATTCCTACGCAACCAAAATTGAAACTTTGGCTTGCGTGTGTGGTTCTTTTGGGTTCCCTAACCTTTGCTACCCCCATCGTTTTAGAAATCATGGTAAACAAAAAGGAATAGTGAGATTGTGTGTGTATTTGGCACTTATAATGTCTTTCAGTCAAGACTGTAAAAGCACTTTGTGAACCTTAATCCCTCCCAGAACAGCAGTAAAGGGAGAAAAGAGTTTTAAATACAGCTACAGTAATGGGAAGGGGTATTTCCTGGCAATTCAAGATTATGGAAGTTGAGGGATTGAGATGTATAAAGGGGCTTTCTCCAGCATTTACTGATCAGCTGAGTTATGCCTGACATCAAGGTTATGATTGTTATAAATAATAATAAAGTACTTTCTGTTGAAATGTAGTTTGCCTTGGTTATGGCATTCGTTTACATTAATAGGCTTTTACTAGTAAGTGACTGTACTGTACTACAAAATGTTTTGAACAAGCATTTAACTTGAAGTGGGTTGTGCCTGCGAAAGCTCATGATACCATCTGCATGTTTTATTAGTCTTTTAAGGTGCTACTAGACTATTCATTGTTTAATTTTTCCAGTTACAGACTAACTCAGTTGACTGGGGAATATTTCATGCAGAAATAATAGTTTCAGGAAGTTTATATTTGTAGAAAGGAAGATAGTACCTCTTGAGCTGTAGGGTAGGCATGCTGCTGTTGCCAATTGAGGTACAGCCACTGAAAGCAAGTGTAGAAATCTGAGGTAAGTCATGCAGAGTGACTATTTTGTCACTGCCTTTTTATATCTTGCCAAGGTAAAAGATGACGGAAAAATTTTTGGACACTGAATGTTAGTGTTGTTCCGTCTGCAAATGACAAAGCTGGGGAATGGGGAAATCTGATTTTTATCAGAATTAATTTCATTTGGAAATTAGGAGCTGCCATGCTGGATCACAATTGATGTCCTGTTTAATCTTAGAGCCTGTTTGTGGCCCTACAAATTCATCAGACACACACACACCAGAAATCCCATTGTGGAAAGTAATGAGTAATTTGTCTGTAGTAGAAGCTTCTTCCTGATTCCTGGCAGTTAGGGGTTAGTTTGCTACTACTATAAAACCTGGAGATATGTGTACACTGTCCAGTTTTATCCTGTTGTTTGCAGTGTTGCATGGATCTTCTTTTGGAGTGGTTACAGTTAATTTAGATACCATTATTGTGTATTTGAGTATTCATCTTCATTGAATTGCATCTGCCAGTGTTGTTCATTTATCTGGCATTGGTAGTATGTTTTGTAATTCCTCAGTTTTCTGACATCTTGAATAACCCCAAACTTTGCCATTTTATTCTACGCCCCATCTCTGAATTTGTACTGAGTTGGCAGGCTCTTCCTTGTTAAGGCTAAGGGCTGATTGACTATCTGATAAGCAAATGATTATCGGATAATCAGTTGACTAGTTGATTTCTCCCCCTTTACCCCCCCCCTTCTTCCTGCCTCTGTCAGATAGAGGCAGCAAAAGGGGGGGAAAGAAGGGATACTTCAAAGTGGCAGCACTGTACAGCTGAGCTAGGGATCAGCTGTGCTGCACTGCCACTTTGAAACCCCTAGGCGGTGTTTCGAAGGGGCAGCTGCCACACAGCTGATCCCTGAGTTCCAGCGCAGCATTTCACAGAACCCGGGATCAGCTGGGGAGTCCCCAGCTGACCCCAGGTTTCGGGGAAATGCTGCGCAGAGCCCAGGATCAGCTGGGGAATCCCCCGTTGTCAGGGATGGTACTTGGTCCTGCTCTGAAGGCAGGGGACTGGACTCAATGACCTCTCAAGGTCCCTTCCAGTTCTAGGAGATAGGCAATCTCCATTAATGAATCCCACAATGCCTGTGTCTATTGCTTTTTTACAGATAAGTATAGTTTTTGCTCTCTCTTGTAGCAGCTGATTTTTGTCATGTAATCATACTTTTTTTTAGCAACTGTTGTTCTTTCAGAACTCTTGGATGTTGTGGATATCAACTTTCATGTAGAATGTGTTTGCAAAGAAAAGATCTGAATATGTTTTAAAATAAAAAGTCAGGACTCCACCAGTACTTTCAATTCCAGAGAACACAAAGAATTCTTGGATTCAGAAACATGTATCAAATGCCTTTAAAATAATTCAGCCAGTCTTTCAAATAACATACTCAAGGGCTTCATTCTTTGTTGAATATGACCATATATGAAATTAGAGTTTCTAAGCCTGTTGTAGTTATTTTATAAAAAGGTAGAACAGCCTTAAGGTACCACAGATTTTTTTGCCATATTTTCCAAGTGTCATTTAAAGACCAGTGTTGGTCAAAATTCAGGTTTTGTTTTAATAGTACTAACAAAGCAAAACTGGATTTAACAAAAGTGACAGTTAATGCTAATAAATTGATTAATTTTGTGTGGTTTTGTTGCTCAAACATTCACCTACAGTCCTTAAAGTATAAACATTGAAGTATTATGGAATTGCATTTGAACTTGAAAACACAACTAACTGGATAAAGAGTCTGACCATCTAGGTTTGTTGTCCAGTAAGAGCAGTGCTTAAAGAAAGCAAATCAGTGTAGAGAGGAGTGAATTTGATTTCATTTTTTTTAAATTTTAACTGTTGTAAATTGAGATCTTAGCAACATATTCTGTGCAGGTCACATGCCAAGATATTAAAGTCCTGCACCCGTGAAATATTGCAGGATTGTCTGAAGGTGTTAGTCATTTTATAAATATTTTATCTAATTATATTCTACAACATTTTTGGACCTTGAGATAAGTCTGCAAGTTAATTGCTCATGTTTGCAATATTTTATTGAATAAGAAGCATCTAGTTTAAAGGATTATTTGCCAATTTCTCAGTTTTATCAGCTATATCTTTCAAAAACCTTCAAAGAGTTGAGGCTCACATCTTCTAGACTCACATAGCAAATATGGAGAAACTTTGTGCTTTAGGGTGATGGTAATGATAAAATCCAAATATTGAAAGCTATCTGTAATTGTTACCATGTGCGCTATGTGTATTACCAGTATAATAATACACTACAGAACTGTTTGTTTTATCTAAAAGGAGTCTGTGTGCATATTCTAAATAATCAGTTGTTACACTCCTGATGATATTAGTAAGCAACTTCTTTTCTCTGCCTATTGGAAATAACCACTGCAAACTATTGCTGACTTTTTTTTTCCAGTTCCATGAATACGGTGAAAATAAACTTGATGAGTGTGTTCTGTTCTCTTTTTTGACACACATTTATTGGGGAACTGAATTTTGTAGTTAAATGTCAGTTTGGACATTTCAAACTGCTGATATTTCTGTACATGCAAATACATTATTCAGGTTTTTCTGTGTACATTTGATTTTTGGGGGGAGAAGGGGGAGGTTTTCTGTGTAATACTTTGTTCATGTAAGCTTAAATCTAAAATGTCTAGATTGAACTGCGCCCATATCAACAAAATGGCATTCATACGCAACACTGCAGTCAGTGAGGACTGGAATTAATGTAAATCTTGATTAACTTTATTAAAAAACAGGAGGTTATTGTCTGGTACCTTCAGTGGTGGCTATGTCCTGTCATGTAGCTTAACTGTGGTTAGACATTGACCTTGAAATCACTGATTTCTTGAGCTATCAGCTTGGGTAAAGGATAGAGTCATACACAGAATAGGCTGCAGTTCTCGCCTCACCTGAGGAACTGTAAAGGGCACAAAGAGTCCAGTCACCTGTAAGATACCAGGCAGGGTTACTTTTTAAAAAACAAAATTATGTCTTTAAATTTTTACTTAATGTTCAGTGCTAACAGCTTATAGTTGGATTTACCCAAAGTCACCCAGTTTTTAATGGAGAATTTTAATTTTTAGGTAGCAATCTGGCCTGTATAATACCAGGGAAAAAAGTGAGGGCTAAAATCTGGGTCAATGATGCATTTCATATAGGTACCACTAGAAGATTTGTTCTCATTGTGTTACTATCTGAGAGAGTAAATCCATGTAGTAATTGTTTAGGTGGGCCTTACTAGTTTAAAAGGTAGTTATTTAGAAACATTTAAACTGACTGGAAGATGTGCAAATTATGCTTGAGATACACCTAAAAGTAAGGGTATTCAATTTGATTTCTATTGAAGCACCCAGGCATATGAAATGAGTACAACTCTCTCTTTGTAGTTATCACGTTGACATTCTGTTCTCCATCACAGGGACCGATGAGAAATATGTGCAGTATGTTATGCCTGATCGCAGATTGACTAGCATAGTCTGAAAAGAGGCTGTGGCTGATGTGAGCAAGATCAGTCTAATTGCTCTCCCTGCATCAGCAGCATCTATAGAGCATCCTGGGAATTGCTTGCCCTAGGATCTGAGCAGCTGGTCACATGAGTCTGAATTTTCAGTTCAGTTCATTAGTCAGCCATTTTGGTCAACACCCTGCTTGCTGCGCACAACCAATCCTGTTAGCACTCTGTGTCCAGGCTTATCGGGTGAGACAGACTAGTAGGGATTCTAGCAATTCTGGATATCTGTTCTTATAGACTTATATTATTTTGTTTTTTCTTAGTTTTGGTAACTAGCAAAGGAAGCTTTTTTCTAATGCAGTGGCCAGGTTTTCTGTAGTTGCTTAGGATTAATAGCATCTAGCACAGCTGAGGAAAAAGATAGTTAAGGAAGAGAGAGGAGGAGGAGACGGAGAAGAGGAGCATCATTTATACCTTGCTTTTTCATACAGAAGCTGTCGCAGTTTGTGATTTGAGCATATTTGTTCTTACGCAGCCAGGTATTTCTTCTTCTCATCATCAGAAGGCTTTTCCTTTTAGTTCTTTTTTGTTGTACCAGCTGAGTCATCATGTCTGCCCTGACGCCTCAAAGCGATATGCCAACCCCCACTACAGACAAGATCACGCAGGCTGCCATGGAGACCATTTATCTTTGCAAATTCCGAGTGTCTATGGATGGAGAATGGCTTTGCCTGCGCGAGCTGGATGACATCTCACTTACCCCCGACCCAGAACCTACCCATGAAGGTATGGTCAAATTCTCTACCTTGGGAGCCCTGCAGCCATCTCATTGTTACCACTACAGAGTGTGAGTGAGTGAGTGAGTGAGTGTGTGTGTGTGTGTGTGTGGGGGAGGGTTCACCACTCAAGGGCTTACATAATCTGGAAAACATGGACAAAATTGCATATGCCTTAGCCAAAAATATATAGATCTAATAAATTCTGACAAGATTCTGAAGTATATTTTAAAATCAGACCTTTTGTTAGAGTGCCAGAAATGTGGTATTTTGGTTTGATGTAGAAACCCAAAGTTGCATCATTATAAGAGGTACGGTTCTGTATTGTCATATCAACACATGCAAAACAAACCATGAATATTTTTATAATGATGCATTTTATTGTGATCTACATATTTAAAAACTGGATATTAAGAAATTTGTAGCTGTCTTGTAAACAAGCAGCATTCAAAAAGGGAGCACATCAGTAAAATTCTGATTAATATGTGATTTGAGGAGAAATTTCGAGACGCCCCAAGGAACTGGGCAATTCTATCTCCTATCAGGTGATAATACTATTGGGAATTTTGTGCTCTTATTTAAGATAGCTTTGAAGCCTGCAGTATGGATTTATAAAACACATTTTTTTTAAGTTTTCTAAGGGAATTAATTATTATTTGTGATGTGGCTGGTGGTAAAAGCAGTTTAATGTCTAGGACAAATATAGTCAGATTGGGACAATAGAAAAAACAATATAAAGCTTTGCTAAAACTAAAAAAGAAAACCCTCCCCTATTCTCTTCCAAAGGAAATCATAGTAAATAATGTGTGGAAGCATGTTTAGTGGTCATCAGTTAATCACTTAGCACCAAATTCTGTAAAATGCTCAACTCCTATTGGAATGACTAACACCAATTGAAGTATACCTTTCAGTATTAGACTCTCTATTCACTAACTGTCATGATGTAAATCCATGCCAAACCACTTGATTGCCACTGTAATATTTTATTATTTGATATTTTGCTAGATGGGATTGCCCTTCAAATTAAATAAGATTCTCCCAGGTAAAAAAGATAATTTAAACTTTACCTGTCCAATCATTTTAAAGATAGATAATCTATTAGTTCCAATATACCCACAAAAGCAAAGTAATGCAGAGTGACAGAAGCAAAACACTTTAAAGTAAAAGGCTAAAACTCCATCTTAAGTGTGTCCCATTGTGCTGAGGTGCCATAATACACACATTTGAGACCCCTACAGCTTCTGAAGTAATATAAATAATGGGAGATGTAAGGAGGAACTGACATGCTTGACTTTGAATTTCTGTGTGGGTGTGTGTGTGTTAGCCTTAAACCTAATTCAAATGTTCTTTGAATTTTTCTCTTATAGTATTTGCTTTTCATAGAATGTTCTTTAGAATAGTGTGGGTTACTGTGATGAACCATAGCTACCCCTTTGAGTTGTTAAAGTACTGTACATCTTAATGGTGTTTGGGGGTTCTTGGGCTGTTTCTGATAGTGGAGATGGGAAGGCTGTTATGGCTTTAGAAACCCTATTCAGGTAGATCTTGATTCTCTAACCCATAGATTATTTAGATTCAGATCCCACTTCATATAAACCCTAAAGTTTATGGTGCAATAGAATTTGGATGATTCCAGTTTTGGCCCTCTTCTGCTTAAATTTCATATGACTCCATAGTCCTATTCATAGAAGATGTTGAAAATATATCTTAACTAATATGATTGTGTACCAATTAAACCATATATCTCTAAAGACAACTTTAAGCATTAATACTGAAAGAAAATCTTGTACCAAACTAATTACTTTGGATACACGGTAGCTAATTTTCAAATCTCAATGTTATAACTATATTTTAAATATCAGATGCTAATGGAAAATATTGAAGAATATTCCAAATACGTTTGGTTTTTAAAATTCTTTTCAGATACTTTCATTAATGTATCATAAAACTGAAAGCAGATAGATGTTTATCTCTAATTTTAAAAAACTAGCTTATTTCTTGGGGTATGGACTCTGTCTGGTCCCTTAGAACATGTTTGGGGGAGATAACACCAAGAAAACCTGGTTTATGATGAAAGTGCTGATACAACTTTAACCATAATATTAGTATGCAGTGATAGCAAAGGCACTGGTACCCTCTTCTATATGAAAAAAGGGGGCCAATGACTGACAGAAAAATCAGCCGGAGGCCACACACAATTTGAGAAACAAAAACAAACCCCTCACGTGGCTCCCTGGCTAATAAGGAGAAAGACCCTCCCCACGTTCTCCTCCCACACCAGAGTCTAGGGCAGGGCTACTCAGCGCGTGGCCTGGCTGTTTGCAGCCCACAGTGCAGTTTGGGTTTACATGGGGCTCAACACGTGGCCTGTGGGAGGGAGCCAAAACAAAAAAGTAATCAATATAATGGTTTTCTGTTATATGCGTTTTAGTAGTTAAATTTCTGGATTGTCATTGCTCATTAAAAGTGCTGTCATATGGGTGGAAATCGGGTAAATATTGCATTTTATTAGTATCAGCAGAACTGACTGAAATGGGGCCTGTGTGCTGTGTAATCTTGCCTTAATCTTGGTATTCATGCCCATCAGTGTGAAAAGCTATTTGTATATATATTTGCATGTATATGCAACCACACTTCAGTTGTGGACCTCGGCATGTGCTGTGAGTATCATTGTGGCCCCTGGAGCTTCCAAAGTTGAGTAGCCCTGGTCTAGGGGGAACCAGCATAGTAGATTTTGTGTGCTCCAGCCCCTCAGTGGGGTAGTCGGGGAGCTGGAGCGCCAGCTTGGGTTCAGTGCTGGGGGGCAGCCCTGAGTCTCAGGAGCCAGATCCAGGCAAGCTGGGGTTGGCATCTGTCCCCTGAGCCTTAGGTTTTCCCACTCCTGCTGTATGGGATTGAACTATGAAGGCTACCAACACTTGGATGCTGGTTAAGGGAGTGGAGCTGAGAGAACAGGAACATAAGAACAGTTATACTGGGTCAGACCAAAGGTCTATCTCTGACCACTGTCAGAAGACAGGGTACTGGGTCATTTCCAAGTGTCCCAGAGGGAATGAACAGAACAAATAATCATCAAGTAAAGAATGCCAGAAATGCTGTTTTTCTGCAGTACTTTGATTTTCTTTGAAGCCTCCATTCTACCATTAGACATGTCTTACCTTTCTAAGATCCAAGCTTATGGGACTGAGCTGAAGAGATCTGGCAATCACAGCTAAACATGGTTTTGTGAAGGTGCTAGATTTGACACTTTGTTTTCCCTTAAAGCATGTCTCTACAGAAGATCTTACCCTATTACAGACTGAACCTCTATAGGCCAGCACTCTCTGGTCTGGTAACATCTGTGTTCCAGCATGATTTTATCATGGGTGTGGCCAAGTTTCCCATGGTCCCATAAAGTTTGTTTACAGCCACCAGTCCTGGCTCTTAGTGTTCTGTGCTGTTATTTAGCTCTAATTTACCCTTGAATGTCTTCTAAGAGCCCAGGAAGCAGTGGAGGTACTAGTACTGCTGCTAGACAATATTAACCTCCTGAGGGTGGGCCATTTTTCTAGTTTGGCACTGGTCAGGTGCTGACTAGAGAGGTTCAACCTGTAATACAACACTATATTATATTTTAGTCTTTCCAACACTGTCTCCTTTGAGTAGTAATGTTGGCACATTCTCAAGATGCTAGTATAGAGTACAGTGTTCTTATTGACATGTTTGTACATTTTTTTGCCTCATGGTCTCCTTATAGCTATGTCATTATTTAGCTACAAGAGCCATCAAACCACATCTCTTAATGTATTTAGAGTAATAGAATTCACTTTTGAGGCTTTGTGGTAGGGATATGCTAAAGGTCCTTGTAACCTTTGGCAATTTTTTTCATGTAGACATAAACTAAAGCAAATAATAATCTGACACTATGACCATAAAATATTACAGCTTTTCTAGCTGTATTGAGCTGCACTGAATAACATGGAGTAATTACAGCTCAAGATTTATGTGACACTACAAAACATATGAGGAGCACCAATCATTAACTGCTTGCAGTTAATTGTCTTGTGAATTTTCATGGTCCCAGTCTAATCATGTTCCCAGTAAAGTAAATGATAATTCTCCTATTGGCTTTAATAGGACCAGGAGCATATCTATCATCAGAAAACAGGTAATATTCTGAATTAAATGCTTTGAAAAAGTCCTGGTAATAAACAACAAACAAGTGCTCTCTGCAAAAATAGTTTAAAGGAAGTTATGTTCTCTCATATAGCAAAAATGACTCCAGCAAAGTTGTAATGAATAGACGTACCTATGACCCCAATAAACACTGTCTCCCAAGAATAGGGTAAAATCCTGAAATCCTGTTCACTTTCCTCAAGCAAGCAATCTTATTGAATAAAACTTCCTAATGAAGTGGAGCTGGTGGTTTTGTGTAACACTTCACCCATCTTTTATCCCAAAATGCCTCCCTAAATATAAATTTGGGAGATGGGGATTTTGGTGCAAACTAAAAGGTGTGTTTCACCCAGTGACAAAAACAAAGGTTCCACCCGCCCTTGCTGGGGCTCTTGTACATTACAGAGTGGAAGTGCTGTAGGGAGCCTGGGGCCAGCGAGGAGTGGCACATGCATTCCACATGGCATGCCAACTTTGAAATGTACAGGAGTCCCCAGCGGAGGCTCTTGTGCATTTCAAAGAGAAAGTGCTGCAAGGAGCCTTGGGGCAGCAGGGGACTTAGAGTCCCCTGCTGACCCTAAGCTCTATGCAGCGTTTCTGCTTTGAAATGCACAAGAGCTTCTGCTGTGGCTCTTGTAGATTTCAAAGAAGAAGCGCTGGTGTGGAACCTGGGGTCAGTGGGATTCCCTGCTGTTTCCGGGCTCCACATGCATTTCAGTCTTTGAATTGCACAAGAGCCCCAGCTGGGGCTCTTGTACATTTCAAAGATGGAATGCAGAAGTCCTTAATTACTATTCGAATAGTTGATGTAAATCCCATCGACTATTCAATTAGCTTATTAATCAAAATGTAACA